TGTCCCTATCACCTGAGATAAGGGTGGAGGTGTGTCTCTACACACATGTGGAGGTGGCAGAATGGGATTAAGAGCAGGAGGTGCACCAAAATCTTTCTGAGGTGATGGCGGGTGACCCGGACTCTGACCTTGGTCTTCTCTGAGTTCCAGACAAACTCGCCCCACGTCAGAAATTTTATTTGTTGCCGCGGCTAGTTTCTCCTCACAGGCTTTTAAGCGTTCCTGTGATGTTTGACATTCACTTCGTAAACGCACGCTTTGTAGGAGTAACGCCTCATTTTCCAATCTGCATTCGTTCAGAGCTTTTGATGTGAGCTGCAACTGTTGTCGTAGCACATCGTTTTCTGAACACAATGCTTGGTACTGAATCTCTCTATCCCTAATCTTCTCCTCATATGAGTGAGCTTGTAATGACAGCTGATTTTCTGAGAGCTCCCTCTCACTCTGCACCTCAACTGCACGTGTCTCTTCACCAAGTTTAGACTGTACCATGAATTTGAGATACCTCTCTCTGTCCGCTGCATATGCCTTAGACAGCACGTCGTTTTGTTCAACCTGTTGATCCAATTTGTCTTTGAGAAGCAGAGAAATTTTTGCTAACCGTTCAAGGCCCTGCTTTTTATTCTCTTTAACCGTGGCTCCTTTTGCTAAACTTGTCAGCTCTTCAGCTCTTTGAGTTTCATCAATCTGTTCTAATTGTGTGCCAATAATTGGGTTTGTTAAAATATATAAAGCTCCCTGGATGATGTCATCTTGTTGACTGTCATCTTCTGACTGGGAGTCTAAAGGGTCAACGTTTTCCTCTTCTCCAGCCATTATCTTCTATTTAAAATTAAATAGGAAGATGTGGTGTTTTAGGTGGTAAAATAAATCAGAAAAGTTTCCTTTTTCTGATATAATTACTCTTATTTAGTGTTCTAGCGATTAAACGTGTATTATCTTTTCAGCAAATGAGTAAATTTATCAATTCTGTGAATATCTGGACTGTATCTTTAAAAAGTTTCTAATTTTTCATTTTGCACTTCCGTTTGAGGAATTATTAGTGAATGAAAAATGTCTTAGTAAATGCCTTTCTGGGCATAAATACCTTAATCACTTTTTAAATGCAAGATAACAGTAATAATTCAGCTTGAGGAACGTTTATTAACTCAAAAACGCTTCTGACAGAAATAAACACGTGTAATTCCACCAAAATATCCTAAAAACGAAGTGAAACTGTGATTTCAAGTTTCCAACAGGAGGTGGCAGTATAACCTTATTTTATTTTAACCCTGACACTGTTAGTGGTGACCAGTAGGAGTCGCGATGACTTCCTGTGGCTTTGGTGACATCCGGTCGTTAGCTGATAGCTTAAATTAGCATCGGCTAGCGTGGTCCAAAAACACCATTTAATGACGGATTTAAAACTTA